GGGGGGGGGGGGGGGGGTCTTGTGGTCCACCGTACCTGGTTGTCCATGGATTGGCAGGCAAGGTATCGCTTGCTTGGGTGGACCTTGACGGCGGGCATCGACTGCATAAACGGCTCAGCTATGTGCTGCAGCAATGCAATGGGATGGGCACACACACAACATTCGTGCCATGCACCAGCACCCCCTTGAGCCTCGCCTCCCTTGTACGGTTACTCACCTTGACGACCACCGGTATCCCGAACTCCCACACGAAGAGCTTCTTGTCGTCAGAGGTGGTCACCAGCAGATTGTTGTCATCGACAAACGTGACCTGCACACACGCACATGAACACATATGCCGCACATGGACATGCCTCTGATGTCTCCGTAGGCATGCGTGGCGTACCGTGTTGACGGCCCCCAGGTGTTCGTTGTACTCCTGTGTGATCTGGCCCGTGTCTGCGTCGAACTGGACGGCCTTCTTGTCGGACGACCCGATCAAGAACACATTCTGCTTGTCGTCGTCAGGGTGGATCGTCACGCAATACGGCGTCTGCACACACCCACACACACATTCACAACACACATGTCTCTCGCTATGCATGTCCGTCCGCAGCTCTCTTGTGTGCGTACCGTACCTTGCCGTTGGTGAATGTGCCTATGATTTTGCCCGTCTCAGTGTCCCACAGGTTGATGTTGCGGTCGTACGAACAGCTGAACACACCATAGACAGACAGACAGACAGATGTGCAGGTGTGTTTGTTGTCGGTATGGCATGGTGGCACTTCACGCACCTGTAGAACCTCCTGCCGTCGTTGGTAAACTGGATGTCACGCACGGCCTTGTCGTGACCCGTGTACGTGCGGATGCACCTACACACACACACACATGCCATACCCAAAACGGGAGGGAGACGAATGGGTACATGACACACACACACGTGCGTGTGCGTGTGAGTGTTGTGTGTGTGTGACTGCTCACTTCCTCTGGTTGTAGACGTCCCAGATCTTGATCTTGGTGTCCATACTGGCCGACATCATCAGATGACCTGCACAGCACATCCAAACACACGCAGGCACACCACACGTTAGTGTAGGCGTGCGTCGACCTGTCTGAGTGAGTGTCCATCATTCATTTTGTGTACGGTACACCAACCAGTCTTCGGGAAGAACCGAACGGTATTCACGCCCGCCGTGTGACCTGTGTAGGTGTAGATGCACCTGCAACCAAAGCATGACACGCATTTTCGTCCATCTACTTTTTCCTTTGTTCCCCTCCCTCCCTCCCTCCCTCTCTGTGTCTGTCTACTTACTGTTTGGGTATGTAGTTGGCCTTGTCCCCCGATCGTTCGATGGTCTGGTCGCCCTTGGGGTCGATCCACGACCTGCCCTGGTAGTCCCTCTCGGACTTGCCGTGGAAGATCGACGTCACACGCTCCCCGCCCTTGTCGCTGCTCTCCGACGGCGGCTCGGGGAGGTTCTCGCGGCGAGAGGCGGCCGCCGCGGCCTCTATCTCAGCCACCGTCTGCTTATTCTCCTCCGCCTCCCTCATCAACTCCTCCCTACATGGACAAACATACAGACAACAGCAACCGGCACAATGGCTAACTGCCATGGACTGGACCACCGTTTGGTGTGCGCGTGTGCCTTTACCTTCTCTCCGCCTCCCCCACGAATGGCGCCCAGGGACCCAAGTCTGCATGACATCACAAGAACACACATACATGGACTTTTCTGGTCGATCTGTCTCGGTTCCTGCGTGCTTCTTTGTCTTACAGTCGTCCGACGCTGGGTCGCTGTTCTTGACACGCTTGCGGCTGTCCTTCCGCTGAGCCTTCTCGAAACTGAAACCAGCAAGTACAGGTGACATTTTCCGTGTCTGCGGTGTGTCTGTCGGTGCATACATACATGTTGGTGGGTCCCTCTGTCGGCTCCTCCATGGCACCCACACGACGCTTCTGCCAACGGGACACGACACACACATAGCAAGTTCTGGCTGCATCTGTGTACACCCCTATCGCCTCCGTCCCCTCCCTCACCCCCGGTATGCTGTAGTCCGACGGGTCGGCTGCGGCACCGACGCTGTGGAAGGTGTGGTACTCCCTGTGGAATGCGAAGTGGGGCAGGTTGTGCGCCTCCAGGTGACCCGTCAGGTGGTTGCGATGACCCGCATACAACTGGTCCACCTGACACGTATCACATCACATCACACGACATCACACGCAGGCGTGTGATGCAGACAGGAACACTTCTCTCACGGCGACTCACCTTGTACGGGTGCACAGGTCCCTGTAGCGGCGCGAACAGCGACTCGGCTGTGGGATTGGTGTAGATCTGCTTGGCGTTAGGGTCGTGCATGGCCACCCTCTCCTCCTCGTGTGTGTCCACATCAGGAGCCACGTTCACAACCGCCAGCGAAGGAGCTGACGGAGCGGGAGCCGCGGCGGGTGCAGCAGAAGGCTCCTCCGCCGCTGGCTGCTCCTTCCTGCCGTTGTCCTTGCCCTCGCCCTCGTCGCCGTAATCATTCAGCCAATCCATCCTCCTCCCAACGATGGATGTCACAAACAAACCGCTGCAAGAGCTGCTATCTCAAGCCTTCGAAGACGTGCCAGGTCTGACCACAGCCGCAGGCAGAGAGGCCGAACGCACTGCGAGATCAACGCGAGCTCACAAATGAAAACCCTGAAGCCCAAACCCCTGACGTAGGTTCGGACTTTCCTGACACGGCTCTTCCCTCGTGCTGTTGGCTGCCTCGGTCGGCTCTCCCCATCTCTCTTTCTCTCTTTCCCTGACGCTTAGTCGCCTTGTGTGCTGTCGGTCAACATCTGCCCACCCACAGGCTCTGGGCTGTTCCCGAGCTACCACGCCAGTTGAGGGCCACATCTGGTGTTGTCCGTCGGCCGTGAGTGTCTTGTAGCCCTCCCGTCATCGGTACGAGACGAAAAGGCACAGGCAGGGGGTGGGCAGTGTCTCACACACAAAGGCGCCTTTCATCACTGTCTGGGTGCACTTGCTTGGTGCATGTCCTGCCTTTCCAGGCGTTTGCCGCTCAGTTCTGCCCACGTCTCCCTGTTGGTGTCGCTCACGTCGTCGACCATTATGTCTCGCACTCAGTACCTGTCTGATGAGAATCTGCGGACGTTTCGCACGTCCAAGTGCCAGCGGCTGGTAGAGGGCCGTTGCGACTTCGGGGCTGACCGTTGCCCCTACTCGCACAACACCGAGTGGACGAGACGGCGTGTGTTTTACCACAACAGCAAGGACGCCATCAAGTACTGCCACCTCAAGTGCCCGGACGTCCAGATCGACTTCGAGAACGAGTCCATTCGGTCCAACACCTGCAAGATGGGCGACAAGTGCCCCTACTCGCACTCGGCCGGTGAGGGAGCTACCAACGGGGACAGACAGACAGATGGGGATAGGAGGAGCGAGGTGTGGCACGTCACCGTCACGTGTGCAATGCATTGATTGTATTGTGTGTGTGTGTGTGAACGATCAGAGGAGATATTCTACCACCCGCTGTTTTACAAGACCCGTGAGTGCCCGTCGTACCAGCGTATGTCGAGCTGCCCGAGGTACTACTGCCCCTTCATCCACAGTCGCGCTGAGGACCGCACACGTGAGCTGAGCAACCGACAAGACAGACAAACCAGCACTTGACCTGACGAACAAACGCCACATCCTATCTGTGTGCGGCTCTGTGTGAATGGAACGCAGACCATCCCGATCGCCAGTACAAGATGTACCAGAAGTACCACCGCAACGACGGCATCGAGCTGCCGCCCATCGAGGGTGTCATCCTGGTCGAGGGCCCCCCCAACAGCAGCAACCGACAGCTCCCACCCATGCCACAGCCCGCCGCCACCAGACCAAACGTACCCCAGCCACCCGTCCAGGTCCCCACTGCACCGCCACAGCAGCCCAACGACCAGCTCACCAAGATACTCACCGCCCTCCGCAGCCTCCCCGAGAGCGAGCGTGCCCATTTCCTGCAGAGCCTCCCCAACGTGGGCCAGCTGCTGTGCCAGGAGGAGGCCACACGCGCGTCGGCGGTGGTCGGGTCGGCCTATACGTCGTCACACGCCTCTCCGACAACCCCCATGTCACTCCCTGACAACGAGCTGGCGCCCCTGGCGTCGACGAGTCGCCCCAACTTGGTCATCAGCAACAGTGAGGATGCGACAGCGGCACTGCACGCCCTGCTGCACTACTACACGCAGGCCGACGACCAGACCACCAAGGCCCTGCAGCCCGCCATTCTCGAGACGGCCCTGCCCATTGTGCTGCACTCGCTGCGCAAACACCCGGTGCCCCAGGCCGATCGCACCAGCAGCCAAAGCGGCTCGACACCCTCACTCCCGCCGGCCCCGCTGTCATCGCCACCCCACCACCTCAATATGCCCGGGCTGTACGACGAGGCCAATAGCGGCCACGTGCAGATGGGCATGGGCAGGGGAATGGGCTTCACCATCGGCGGTGGTGGGTGGGACGCTGATGGTGGGGACGGGTGCCGACGGCTGGTGCAGAGGTACAGCCCACACAAGGGGAGCGACAGTGACCTCTCGACCGTCATGCAGGGTGAGCAGAGCACAGCAGAGCATACGGGTGTCTGTCCAGAAGGGATGCGATGCGTGCAATGTAATTAATGTGGTCTGATCTGTCGGTCTGGTCACGCCTCATTGTGTATTGTGTGTGGTTCTGTTCTGTTGATGGGCTCAGGTGCATCCTCCAGCTGGTCGCGTTCTGGCTCGTCGGCGTGGTCCAAGTCGCCCAAGCGCGAGGACCCCCCGCCCTCATTCTACTCACACTTCCCACAGGCCTCTGCTGATGCCGCCCACGGCCACCGACAGGCCACCCCCACCCCATACACCACTCTGACGGACCGCGAGCGCCTGGCGCTGCCCAGGGGCCTCCTCGACGACCACGAGGGCCAGGAGGGGGGGCTGTGAAAGACAGACCAACAACGTGAAGACACAGGGGGTGGGGAATCGAATCGCTGACGTACGTCCATACATACTGACTGGCTGACTGACTGAGTGACGGTATGCATATGTATCTCTCCAGCGCGTGAATCGCGCACCATACCGTACTGGTTGCTCTACAGGATGTTGTTTGATGAGGGTGGGGTTAGATGGGGGGGAGGGGAGGGGACGGCGTGGGTACTTAGTGTGTGGGAGGCGCATGGGAGGGAGTGAGTTACTCTCTTGGCTGACTTATCGCTTTGCTGTCGTGTCGTACCATCGTTTCTTCGCGGCTGTATTGTGTTGTGCTGTGTTTCGCGTTGTCGTTCTTTCGCACGACCATATCTGTATTTAATCGACATACATTGGGAGGGGCGGGAGCGGCGGCTTGCTGGACGTTTGCGCCTTGTGTGGTGATGATTGATGTGTTTGTGCATGGCGTGCAGGTAGGTAGGCAGCTGGTAACCCGTCTGTGGTATTTGTGCTTTATCTTTTCGCCGCCACCTATTCCATTCTCTCATAAGGACAGACGGTGAATGCGGTAGTTGGATTAACTAACGAATCGATGGGCCATCTCGGCCACTGACCCGACCCGTAGGCCCACATTTCACATCAGTGGGAACGATTCCTGCCTGCAGTAGTGCTCACAACACAGCTCACATCCACTGCCTTCCATCCACGCCACGGCATCCTACTTGCTTCTAGGGAGGGAGGAAGGGAGGGATACATCGATCGTCGTCTAGTCAATGAATGCATAAGGTGCGTGCGTCTGACTCGCGTGTGGGCGCGTGTGTTCACCTGTGTGTGTGCGGGCGCCTTGGAGGGAAACGGGGTCTCATCCAAAAGGAAAGCCACAACGCTCGGCGCGGCGGACAGGAGGGATGGAGAGGGAAGATTGTCCCTTTTTCATCTTCCTTCTCCACCCTCCGTGTCTGTCGAACGGGCCTAGATTTTAGGATGAGGCTTTGTTTGGGTGCCCTCATCCATCCATCCATCCATCCACAAACTGACTGACGTGCAAACGTACTTTTGTCAGCGGTTTGTGAGTATCGAATTGGGTGTGTGTGTGGGGGGTGGGGTGTCGTGTCCTTTCTTCCTTCGTGTATGTCGTTTTGTGCCGGATTTTCTTCGTTCGTAGTCCATGCCTGTGCATTGCATTGCATGCATGAGAGCTATCGAGTGACTGACTAACCGACTGACTGTTTGTGTGCCCTGACATAATTGCCTTGCAGCCGTCTTACAAACCGTCTCGCCTTACCTCGTCTTGTCTTGCGCTCTGTAGGGTGTAGTTGCCTTGCTCCATCTCATCTCATCGCCTTCCCATTGCTTTCCTACCTTACCTGGCTGCCGTGCGACCGATTGAGTCGATTGCTGCTGCCCGTCCCGTCCCGCCCCGTCCCGTCCTGTGAGCAAGGCAACTAGTTGCCTTGAGTTGCATTGCATTGCTGCTGCCTGAGAGATGTGTCGTACGTACGTGACGTAGGCAGGTTATATACATACCATACGTGTGTGTGTGTGGTGTGTGGGGTGTGTGTGTGTGTGGTGGGGGGCGCTGCGGCTTTCATCTTCTGCCGCTCCGCTTGCCTTGCCTTGCCTTCTTGACTTGATACCATACCGCCGCCCGCTTTCTCACAGGAGACGGACGCGTAGGTGACAGACAGACAGCTGGGTCAGCCCAGACAGGTCGATGCAATGGGGGAGGGAGGGGAACGGCCGTGTGTGTGTGTGGATGGGGAAAGATAGAAGGTGGGCACAGCCAGGATCAGTCAGTCCATGTGGCCTCGCCCCCTTCCTCTACCCGTTCATGTGTTGTCTGTCTTTTTGTTTAGGGTTTTGCTCCGCCCGCCTCCCTCCTTGCTTCCTCGTCCTACCCTATCCTACGTGGGGTCCATGCATTAAGTACATGCGTAGGGCCTAACTCACTCAAAAGTATGTGGATGCGATGCGATGCGTGCAGTGGCTGTGTGCTTTTAGTGACTGACTTGTACTCACTCACCTACCCTGCCTCTACGTATGCAGTGCATGATACGATGCTCCCACACCACACCCTGTCGTCTCCCCGCCCATGCCATGGCCCTCTGCCGGTCGGTCTTATTTGGATCGCCTCGCCAGAGGTTTTCCACGCTTCCACACCCGTCCGCACCCATGCATGCCAGCCGTCTCGTCCCGTCGTCCGTCCCCTGCTGCCCTCCTCTCTCTTGCTGCGCGCTTTTTTTCCAGCCGCATTGATTTGTGGCGTCCCATCCATCTCATGTTTCTGTGCGTGCCTTGCGTGTGACAGAGAGCTGAGAGAGTCCACCCGTCCCCCGTCCAGTCCAGTCCATGGCATGGATGCGATGCAGGCATAGGGTTTAGCCAATCCCTTACATATACTCACCACTCTACTCACCACTGTCTCACTCACTACTACTTGACGGAAGCAATTCGTGGTCTCCTTGGTGGCGGTTGTTTGTTGGCCACGGGAGAGGACAGACAGACAGGGAGATGGATAAGAAAGCCGTGGGCTAGTCGGCATGACGGAAAGACAGCTCAGCTTCCTCGCCGGTGTGTCCATTTTGTGCGACATCACTCACACACGTATCTGGCGGTCAGCCAGGCGGACGACACACATTCACACACACACGAATTGCTTCCTGTACTCTGAAGATATTAGCCTTTAGCCCTTAGCAAATAGTCGTTGCTCCCTCACCTCAGCTCGCCCTGCCTGCCTGCCTGCCTGCCGTCACTCTCACCCTCCCCCCTTGCTTGCCTGCTTGCTGCATTTCCAGACAGACTTTCAAGCCGCAAATGAAATGGGCTCGCCCGATTTTCACAACGAACGAACCCGAGCCATTTTGCGCGTGTGCATGTGTGCATGTGTGTGCGTGTGTATATGGTTGGCCGTGTGACGTCGTGTCCAGCCACGTTTACTGTTGCATGTCATGATGGGTGCGCGTGTGCATGCGTGTATATGACGTCCGTCCTCACCCTTTGTACTTGCATGGCATGATGCGTGTCGTGTGTTCTGGGCGGGAGGGAGGGAGGGCGGCAAGGAGAGGAAGACAAGGAAGAAACAGAGAGAGACATTCGATTTCCCCGCTCACTCGGATTTTCGTAAGAAAGGTGGTATCGTATCAACTTTCTGTGTGACCGATTGGTAGTGTTTTCTTAGACAGACAGACAGACAGACAGACAGACAGAGAGGTAGATGCGCGGAGCGGACAGAGATGCACCGGTGACCGTCTGGCTTTGTGAAGCGTAGGCGGATGCACTTCGTAGTGCTGCCCTGCGTCAGGCGTGATGGGCCAGTCACGAGTGCTGTTGTTGGCCTGGCTGCATATCCCTGTCGCGCCTCGGCTCTTTTGGTGTTTGGATCTGCAAAGTACGTGTACCGTATCGGGTGGGCCGCTGTGGTGCCGGCGTGAAAGCGTCCGCACTCGCGCCTTCGGCTCACCTGCGTAAATACCCAAACCTTGACGACTGTTGCAGGGTGCAAGAAATGACACATCAATGATGAGTCTGTCATGAGGAAAGTGGTGCCTTGCGTGCATGTTGTGGTGTATATCGCTGCGCTGATGAAGGGAGGGAAGATCCCTCATCGCCGGTGATTCGTCACTTCATCAGCGCACGAGCACTTTTTGGGTTGCTTCTGGGGTGCACTGTCTGCCTTCACTCCTCTGGGTCTGTATGATTCGTGTATGTGTATGTGCTCATGCATATGAATGAGACGCTGCGAGGCCACTCCTGCGAGCTTAGCCGCGTCTTGTAAACTTGAGGAGACAGGACGGGAGTAGACAGGGGAGGAGAGACCGTTGAAGACAGCCCAGTGGCAACGGTCTCTCTGTCTTTTTCTTGCGCTTGCGCCTTCCTTATTCCGACTGGTTGACCTCTGTGTGTTGCTTCGTTTCCCCCTTTCGTGCTTGTTTGACCATCGGACAGTCCTTTCTATTATCAGTGTGTGTGTACGGACGTTCACAGCGACTGATATCTTTATCATCGGTCACTCTCACTCAACCACAGCGAAGATCATCGCCACCAAGCCAATCCGCCTCGTCACTTCACACATCCATTCTCCACTAGACCCGCTCGCTGAATAGACACTCGGAAGCTGGAAGCAGCGAGCACCCAAACACGACCGAATGATAAGAGTGATTGCATCGCATTTGTTGCGCCGCATCCAGCAACAAATTTGCCGGTCTGTAGCCATCAGTGTCGGTGCCTCGGATACCAAGCGCACACTTGACCGAGTCTCTCCAGACGCTTAATAGTCGGTCGATTCATTGCATTGAGATGAAATGAAATCACAATTTCGTGAAAAGGGTGGCCAAACGAACCCTAACCCACAAGTCACCCCGAAGTGATTTAGACTCATCGCAGCGGCGTGATTGCTGCCGCCTTTGCGGTTTGTTATCATGCATCGAGCCGGCGCAAGAATGAATGTGTTTGTGGATTAGACATGAAATGCTCAGTGTGTACGCGGGCGATGCACTGCCGTTCACGTCTGTCTGTATGGACACGCACCGCACAGCGACATGCATCGAGTCAAAAGGAGACGCGCATGCAATGCAGCACGGCCATGGAGCGAGTCAGTGCGATGGCAGGCATCCAGGCAGTCTGTATATCTGTGTACACACACCCATTGACGGTCTAGCCGTGCTTGGCATGCACTGCGCCCCATCCTTCATTCCTCCCTCTCAGCTAGCTAGCAGCCCCTCCCTCACCATCTGGTGACGATCATGTGGATGGTGCTGCCCCCCAGTACGCCGTACTCCGCCAACAATAACTCGTCCGAAATCGTCCTGCAGGGGGGATGCACATCAGTCACGCACACACACACACTCCCTCCCTGCCTGCCTGCCTGCGTGAAGGCCTTACGTACTTGCCGCCAAAGATCAGGTGTATTTTGGAGATGTCGTGGTACAAAGCCGCCTTGACGTGAAGCACGAGGGATTCTCGTCGCACCCACAGAGGGACCTGCCGGCCTGTGGGTGACTCCTTGATCCTCACCCTCATGTAGGCAGTACGCACCCCTCTGCGGCAGTAGAACAACGTGACAGTGAGAGAGAGAGAGAGGATGGTACTCACGTCGCACATGTCTAGTGCATATGCCTGTGTGACAGACAGACAGTTTATGCCCTTACCGTGGAGGCGGTCGCGTGAGGACGTAATCGCCATCATTGCTAAACGTAGGGAGCACGTCACTGCACACAAATCACACCACATCGACCGCCCTTGATGATAGCATCTTCTCTCCATGAACACATGGATGGCCGGCACTCACTAGAATGGTGTTTTGCAGAAACACCTGGGTGGCACCGGCTCCTCGGCCATCTCCTCATCTTCATCATCGCCGTTGCCATCGCCGTCAGCTGGCCTCTCGGGTGGGCCTAAGAGGATGCGCCGGTAGCACTCCCTGCAATAGCACACATGCCCTGCACACACGCATGTCCACACACATGTCGGTCAACGTCATCATACTGTCTCTCTTGCTGACTGACCACACGGCAGTGTGACGGTCTTCTCCCTCCCCTTGCAGGCGAGACACATGCGGTCGCTCTCTTCCTCTTCCCTCCTCTTCTCGTCGTGCAGCGCCTCAGCACGCCGCTTGAAGCCCGCCAGCCGCCCCATCTCCTCATCCGCCCGTCCCATTAGGCACTCAATCTCAGCTGCAGACCCACACTGACGCAGCCGTTCGTCGGTGAGGCGCTCCCTCTCGAGTGTGGCGATCTGCTGCTCGAGTTTGACGATGCGGGTGCGGTGTGCGGCGTTGTCCTGCTTGAGCGATGTGATGGTGTTGTCCTTGACGGTGAGGAGGGCAGCGTTGGCCTTCTTGTCGGCCACGTGGCGCTGCAGCTCGCTGTCCTTCACCCTGCACATAAGGGGATGAGAGGCGATGATGAATGAGTGGAGTCGACCTTTTCGCACCGAATGGTCTCGGTGAGCTGGGCAACAGTTGAACAGGCATCCTCTGCCCTCAAACGCTCCTGATGGAAAGACCGAAAAATGCGTTGTCTTCTGCCCTACCCCGCCCCCTCTCCACTTGCCCGATTGAGTTGCCTCACCAATTCGAACACAGCCCCACTGGCGGCGGGAGGAGGGGGTGGGTGCGGCATGGGTGGCGGGGAGGGCATCAGCCGACTGTCCAGCCACTGCTTGAATGCTGGGACCATGACGAAGCGAAAGCGGACGGCTGCCAGCGATAGGGAAGAGCACAATCATGAAGAGCGACGTTGTTATCCGTGATGTAAGTGAGGGGGGTGAGGAGTGTCCGCCCGCTCACATCCAAATCGAATGATGCAGCCGTCGGACAGATCGTATCGCACGCCCAGCTTCAGTGGCTTCTCTCTGTTATCTCTGTTCGCAAAGCTGAACACGTGCAGACCCGCACATCACAATGCACAAAACACAAGAGACGGTCGTTGCGTTGCGGGCTGCGAGTGTTACAGGCAGGCCTACCATGTGCCATTGCCGCTGCCGGCGTCCCAGGTCTCGATGCTGTCACGCTCAACATCCAAGGGCACAGAAACACGTACACGCTCGTGGATGGATGCATCCCTGGATGGTCTCCCTTCGCTGACTCACGTATGATTGCATGCTTCCTCGAGATGGTGAGACTGCTGTCGCCCTCCACGAGCAGGTCCACACGGTGGCCATCCACAGGGAACAACTACGAACAGACGTCAGTCACGCACAGGCAGTTGCGCGCAGAGTCAGTGTTGGCTGACCCCCTCCTGATGCCGTCGTCCGATGTCGTTGGCGCCCTTGCGTATGGCGAAGCGAGGCGGGTCGGGAGCAGCAGTGTCCTCCAACACAAGATGACCGACCTGGTGGATTGACACACACACGCAGATACGGACAAGTGGATGAGCGAGCAGGAGTAAATCACGCGAATGTGTGGTTGGTCATCTCACCTCTTGCCCGAAGAATTCCGACGCCCGGTCGTCATCATCGAAATCGCCGTAAAAGTCACCATCTGAGTCAAGCAAAGCCATCTATCCATCCATCTTGCTGCCTTCCCTGCCTGCCAGCCTCCTTACCGATCGGCTGCGTCTGCATCTTGTCTGTACGATTGACTCAGCAAAGCGCCACTGGTCGGCTGAGTCCTTCAGCAGTCCATGAAGGAATCGCGATCCATTTGGTGGTAGCTCGCAGACGATCCGGGCAAGGAGGAGGAAACTCTCCTCTATATGACTGAATGACGCCTCGCCACTGCATCCGCCTCCACCTGACGACTGCAACGGTGTGCAACTTGCAATGAAAGGATGAATCAGATCTCGATCCGAGAGCTTTTTCTACTAAGGTCATCCCCTTTTGGGAGCTCATAGGGGATTGATTCCATTCCATTCGTTCAGTGGTAACGAGATGCAATTAAGTCTACACTTTGATGCAAACATGCAACGCATGCAATGCAATGCAGACACATGTGTACACATGCAATGCAGGTCAAGGGTGTCTGCATTGCAGAAGAGACGAGCGTCAAGAGGGCGGCAGAGAGGCAGCGGCAACGAGGCTTGCACACCGATGCGTCGATCAAAACCTGCCTCCCCGACCACCTGTTCCCTCCATCCATCTTTCTCGTTTGTGTGCCGTCCATCCATTGATTTGTCCCCCCACCCCGACTTAGATCCTTCACACATTCATTCAGCTCTCAAGCCACACCAAGCGACCAACCACATAATATACTCCTCACCACTCACTCGAACACGCACATATCCACAGCAAACGGAATTCCGTGAGCGAATCATGGCCACTCACACACTCGCCCCCAGCTACCCACCGCACACGTCACGTGTGCTTCCACGACTCACTCATGCAAATCTCTCTCACGTCACAGCCTGGCAGGAAAAAAGTCCTGCGTGCAAGAGCCACAAAGCAGAAAGCAGGAAGCGACGAGAAACACGGCTTGGGGTGAGGCAACTCAATCCAGCCCATCATTACGTCCGTGAGTATATACGCATACCATCCCCGTCACGTCACGTCGTCATCACGAAGCCAGGGAAAAAGACCTGGGCCAGGTGGGAGCGACACGACGAATGGGGGTATAATTATATATGAGCATTAAACAAACTGCCATGTATATGTTATGTGTATGGATCCGTCCTAATACGGACCTCGCTCGCATAAACATGTTCGCACCCATCACTCCACTCCCAGCTGCCTCCCCTCCCCTCAGTTCAGTACTCATTGAACCACTCTTGAATCTGCTCGCGATCGTCCGTCAGGATCAGCGCCAGCTTGAGCAGAATGCGCGCGTCTTGCGGCATGGACAGCGTCTCGGCCGCCACCGAGTCGAGCGTCTCGTCGATGGCGTCCTCACCAGGCCGGTTGACGGCTCCCGATCCAGTGCGGGTGGCGCGTACGATGACGACGCCCGCCTTGGAGGCCTCAAGCAGGGCGGCCTCCATCTCCTTCGACATATTGCCATTGCCGACGCCAGCGACCACCTGCACACAGAGACACACGTGAGGGAAAAGATAAAGGAGTGTGTGTGTGTCTGCGGCTTACAATGCCTTTGGCGCCATTCTCCACGGCTGCATCGACGAGGAAACCCTGAGAGCCTCATATCAACGAGCACAAGAGGATCTCGAGTGTCCTTGCGGGTTGGTTGGGTCACTGCTCTTCTCCCACCTACCTTGACGTTCTGATGTGCGTACAGAATGACCACCAGGGGCAGCTCGTCGGCCGTCTTGCCGTCCAACACACCGGCCAAGTCGCTGGCGTTGGTGTGCTTGTAGACGGATGAGCCGGCGTCGTGGAAGAAATGAATGTTGCCGAAGAACACAGTGCCTGGCAGGATCGACACATCATATGTGTACAGACACATACACATACGCACACACACACGTGTGTGTCTTGTCTTGTCTTGTGTCGCAGGCAGGCACCGCACGCACCGATGAAGCTGTTCATGGGGCTCTCGAAGGTCTGTGCTGTAACTGTGTTGCTCTTGGTCGCCTCCCGACCAGAGTGAATCTGCAACACAAAACGCAGATAGGCGGCCGGTGAGTGGCAAGTACCCATTCACACGTAGCCGATGTGTCTCTACCTGACCTGGTCATTGAGAACAACAAGCACACCCCTTCCGACGGCCTCTGGACTGCTCGCCACGGCGATGGCATTGTAGAAGTTCAGCTCTCCGTCGGCTCCCAGCTGGGTGGGCGACCTCATTGACCCCACCACCACTATCGGCTTTCTCGTGTTGACCGCCAGATTCAGCGTGTACGCCGTCTCCTCGAGAGTGTCCGTACCTGCACACAGACACACACGCACACACACTGTCTGTATACAGCGTCCGCCACGAGCATCCCATCCATCGCCTTGGTCCCTCCCTCACCGTACCGTGTGTGATGACGACTCCCGTGACATTTTCTCGGTCGACTGCTGCCTTGACAGCCTCGTAGATGATGAGCATGGAGGTGTCGTTGATCCACTGAGAGCCCAGCTGGGTGGCCTGCACGCCCTCCACATTAACCAGCTCTAGCGCCTGAGGTACGGCCGCTATGAGTGCGTCGACAGTCGCTACACCTGCTCACAAGCAGATACACAACAGAGATGTATGAGGGAAACACTGCCATGGATGGGATGACGCAACGCTATCGCTCACTGCACTGACCGGATGTGTAAAACTGGTCCGTCGCACCAGATCCCCCTCCCGCAATGGTCCCTGCAGTGCATCCATGTGCCGTGCATGTGTGGTGTGGACGGCTTGATTTCTGAAAAGGTCACCCACCTCCTGTCGCAATGACGACAACGGTTGGCTTCTCATCGGACTCAACCTGATGGGAGGGAGCATTCATTACGGCACACGGTTGTTCCATGTGATGTGCCAGATCTCCCTTACCTGCAGTGACCTCTTGCGATGCAGGCCCTGTCCAGCTGTTCCAGCAAGGTCGGTGGGGGAGGCGCCACAGCCTCCAGGTGAGAAGAGAGCGCAAAGGGACAGGCAGATGCAGGGGAGAGCCACACGCATCGTGGTCAAGAGCAAGGGGGAGGGGAGGATACGGAGAAAGATCCAAATTCTGAAGCATCTCAAGCTCGCACAGGAGACGGGAATGCTGCAGACGGAACTGTGCGAAAAGGCCGGTGAGGACCTTTCCTGTAGTTAGCTCAATAGAGGATCTGCTGGGCGGTAAGTCCCAGAGTAAGAGTACTTTTACTTTACTAAGACCGATGGACTGGCCAATCAGTCAAAGTTATTTCTGTCCACGTAT